CACCTGGTGACAGCTGGACCAAAATGCAGCTTCATGAAGAAGACACAAAGCTCTTCAAGGTCAAATTTACAGACTTCAGTATATGGAAAAGAGTAGAAATTGCATGCCAGCTGCATGGTATCCTGGATTTTGGAGTGGCCCCTGATTTTGGGGGTGCTTTGGGGGGTACATTCGCCTTGGTCCATCAGAGCCTCCAAGAGTCTCTTCCAGACAATTTTGCCCCTGGAGTCTAAGGGATAGACTGTTGAGAGATGGATGGATGGAGTCACTGATTCATTCATTCATTATCTGAGAGTAGAAAGATGACCAAGGTCTTCACTCTCAAGCTCCCAGTCTAAGTGGGGAGGAATGCCAGCAGTAACACAGTAGTAGCTAGATTTTGAGTGTTTATCATGTGCTGGGCTCTATAGGAGACAATATTTGAAGGCACTTTGAAGTCAGCAGTCAGAAATAATACCACTTACCCCTCAGATGTGTGACTTAGAGATAGCGCCTCATGATGGGTGTCTCTTAGGAGGTCGCGTGGGTTGGGCTGAGTTGGGATTCTGAGTTAACACCCTTGTAGGATAGGAGGGCCGAGGCATGCCGTGCCTGCCATCCTTGGTGTCCTTTTTCCTCTAATCTGAACATGTCAACCCCTGCGGAAGTTGCTTCTGTAAGGAACGCTCAAGGATGAAAGCCAACACGCGGGCCCAGCATTCCCTCAGCCCAAGAGCACGATTGCTTTTCGAAGCTTCAGTTGCTGAAAGGCAAGACTTGTCAGCAGAAGCTTCAGCACCCCCCCAAATCCTTCCCATAGCTGTTCTGTCTCCCCAGAAGGCAGGGCCTGTTTGCTCCAGCATCAGCCCTCTGTTCCCTCAGAACTCACAGAATTGCCTTCTCTCCACATCCTCCAGACGACATATCTGCCTTGTATCTCCTCCATTTTTAAGTGAAAATCCTCAATATCTTCCTATGAACTGCCCATTAGAGTGCCTTCAATCACATCTCTTGCTTCCCTGGACTCACCAGCCACTCCGATTACTTCAGAGAGAGTGAAGTAAGTGTACTCAAAGTCCCTTTTTATGTTAATTGATGAAATTTACCCAGACCTCCTTGGAATATTGTAGCTAATTTCAGTACCCATCTTGCCTCTCATTTAAAGAATTCAAATCAGTTTTTTAAAAGGTCTTAATACTATAGGAAGGAATGAAAGAGGAACACCGTAAGAACGATTTTTTGAAAACTATTCCTAAAACACCGAAGGAAACGTAAAGAAAAAGAAACTTTCCTTTTGCCCGTAATTCTACAGCAACTTCAGTATGATTTTGTTGAGCTAACTTCTAGCATTTGCTTTTGATCGTTGCAAGCTTTGGTTTTTGTTTCTTGTTTTATTTTGTTTTTATCCCTCGAGGATTTTCGTAAACACTTTTACATTTGGCAGTGTGTTTGCAGTGTCTGTGTCATATGCTCCATCAAATTGATATTCCATAATGTACCACCCTGTGCCTTAATGCTGGATGTTAAGGTTATTTCCAGTTTGTTATAAATAATAGGAGCAAGAACATCTTTGTATATATAGCTTTTTTCCTATGTCTGAATTATATCCTTAGGATAAATCCCAGGAGTGGGATTAGTGGGTCAAAGGGTATGAACAGCTTTATGGCTCTTAATATTTATTGCTAAATTGCCCAAAGGGTCATTCTAATTTACAATGCCACCTGCAACACATGAGAAGGGCTGCCCCTCCCAGCTCTTTCAGTGCTGATTTCTTCAGCCGGTAGTTTTGGGCGCATTCAATCATTATTAAAGGGTAACCTGTTACTGTTTTTAATTATAATTTCTTTAATTATTATCAACATTGGACAGTTTTTCTTAAATGTGTTTCTTATTATATTCTGTTTTCTATGGCTTACTTTTTGTGTGGGAGGATTGTATTTTTTGGCGCCAGGTGGAATTTAAAATATTTTATCATGAAAATGTCAGATGCACTCAGGACGGAGAGACTGATTGATGAAGCCCCCTAGACTCATGACCAGATTCAACAAACAGCAAAACTTGGCTCTCTTTGCTGTATTTGCTCCTTCTTTTCCTCTTTTTCCCCTTCATGCAGTCATTTTAAACCAAATCCCAGACATCCTGCTTCTGTTTCCTATACACCTCACCATCCAGCTCTAAAACATACGTACTTTTTCTTATATAAACATGATGCCATTGTCGCACCGTACAAAGTTAATGATAATTCCTTGGTATCATGCAGTAATACCCATGTGTCCTAAAATTTTCTGGAATGTCTTTAAAATGGCCTTTTTACTGAAGCCTTGCTTCAGTCAGTATCCAGAGAAGGTCATTTGTTTGGTGGTTATGTTTCTAGAGTCTTTTAATCTAGAACAGGCTTCTCCCTGTGTTTCCTCCTCCCCTGCTGAGTTTCCCGCACCCAGCGACATTGCAGGAGCTGTGTCAGTTGTCCTATAAATGTTTCTGTGTTCGGGAATTGACTTTTTGTTCATTAGCTCTAGCACACGGTGAGATTCAGTTTTCCCTTTCTTGGGGGCTGGCGTGGGGAGGAAGCACACTTCCTGGTGCTGTGCGATTTACTCTGTCTTCATGTCTTATTGACCCCCTTTGGGTGATGCTGAGGCCGATCACGGGCTCAGATGGGGACAGCCCAAAACGCAGTTGTAAATTTCTTCCTTAGCTTTGCCTCTGACTGGTTCATCTGTTAATTCATCTAATACAATGAGCCACTTACTTCCTAGGGATTGCACAATGGTGATTTTCTACATCTATCATCCTTTCCCCATTTATTCACTGGTATTCTTCTGAAAAATAAAACTCTTTCCCTCATTACCTAGGACTTCTTAGTAATCTCAAAATGCAGTTTGTACAAGAAAGGCAGGCCACATGCCTTTAAGTCTGCCTCTAAGTTGCCAAGTTTCAAGAAGTTGGTTCCCTAGTCATTCCCTAGTCATTGCTGTTGGTTTTGGTTTTTGAAGAATCATAATATACTCAGGGTTTTAAAAACCTATTTATTCCAAGTGTTTTACTCAATTACATTCATTATTCTTTTTGATGCTAAATTGTCGTAATCCTTAGCCCAAGGGAGACAATTCATGCATTTGTTTTCAGGCATAAGGTGTCTTGGGTTCCCCTAGAAAATTTTACCCCTTGGAATGAGCTGTTCCTCGAAGATGACCCGTGTTTGATTGGTGAGGGTTAGTATTTCGATGCCACAATCTGGATACGTTATGTGTTTATTGTTAAAATTTCTAAGTTTCCTCAGTGGACAGAATTAAGAAATGCATACTTAACAGAGGAAAATAAAATATTACTTATGAGTTCATATTAATATTTTCATTTCAAACTTAACAAAACTTTTTTTTATTTCTTTGATTTCACACTTGTATTTCCTTCTTTTACACTAAAAACCTTGGTTCCAAACATTATTATACTGCAGTATCTCAAATAGTTTCAAAACAACACAAAACAACAATACCAACATTATTACCAACAGTTTTCCTAGTGAATAAAAGATTTCTTTGCAGTTCTGTTTTTAGAATACAGCCCACTAAAAACAGAGTCAAATTAGCTTGTTCAAACAACACTTGAGTTCTTTTCACCAACTGGATATATAGTTGAGCTCCTTTATTTTGATGCGTTTTCAAGTTTTCAGGTTCGCTTTTTTTTTCTTTTTGGTTTAGATTTATTTTTTGAATCTGTAAAATGTGCTTCCAAAATTAAATGTAGGTAACAAGGTATTACCAAAAAGTCTTTTCTTCTGCCTCTAATTTCCTTCTTTCCCTATTGGCAACTATTTCTTAATAATTAAGGTTTCTTTTACCTTTGCAGAATTTCTTTTTGCAAGTGTATATGCATTCCGATGGCCTCCTCTGTTTTACACTAAAGCTTGCGTACCACGTATTTCTTATGAAACACCTTATCTGCTCTAGAGATCTTCGCAGTCATCCGTTGTCATCATGAACCATGGTTTATTTAACCAACCACTTATTGATTGATGGAGTTCTGTTTTCTTTGTGTCTTGTAAAAGCCCAAAATCCTTTGTCCAGGTCATTTTGTAGTTTAGCCAATGTGTCTTTGGGGATCTATTTCTAGGAATGGGATTGCTGGGTCAAAGGGCAATGTGATTGTACTTTTGTCTTTTCCTAGCTCTGGCTAGATTCACTTCTAAATGGGGATTGTGTGTCATTTTGCACTGAGACAGATTTTTTTTTAAAAGATTTTGCAAATGCACAAATTGAATATACCAGGTTGTTGGGAAATTAGTGTGTTCTTCCAAATCACCAGTTACTGACTGAACCCACACACTGTTCCCATGATTGTCTGTTGTCTACGGCATAGCCTGGAATGGGGCACCCCGGTTCCTGCTCTTAGGGCATCTGTAGTTTGTCTGTGGAACATGACATGAATGAAAAGCAGAGTTAGAGTAGCTAACATAGACCACGTTGTAAAAACAAAGGCGAATGCCCAGCTCGAGTCTCTGTCTTTGTCCCAAGCCACGTGAGTCTTGGATCCTCTCAATTCCATTTGCACTTTTAGTGACAGTGACCCTGCTCCCAGACCACAACTTCTGACACCCGACTGAATGAATCTACTAACAGGAATAACAGCGTTGAATGTCTGAAATGCGGGCTGACTCTTGAATTTAAGCTGAGTATTTTATCTGTGTGTGTGTGTGTGTGTGTGTGTGTGTGTGTGTGTACACACTCCCAGAGCACACTCTCCGGCCCATACATGGGATGTTAATAAGGGTTACACAGCAAAATCAGTGTGGAAACGTCAGGTCAAACAAACCTAATGGGGGCGCGACTCCAAAATCATGTGGCCACCAAACCCTCTGTTCCAGGGAGCGTCTTGTGTTAACACTGTTCCTTGAGACACAGAGAACCGAAGGGTGGGTTCTAATTGGAGGACAACCAAAGACGTCTCTTCCGGTTGATTAACTTGTACGTCTACAGTTGTGTGTGGTTTTCATTAACAGTTCTTCATTTGTTTCTTTCTAGATTGAATCGTTGAAGAAGAAGGTGCAGCAGAAACAGCTCTTAATATTGCAGCTTTTGGAAAAGATCTCTTTCTTAGAAGGAGAGGTAAGAAGCAGTGTTTAAGTTGGTGTCTTCTCTACCATTAAATTTTATGTTGCCGAGCCTACCGCCGACACTTAATTAAAAATATGGCTATTTCCTGGCCTTATAAAATTGATTGAAGGTTAACTGCCGGCACTGAAAATGGGATTCTGACAGCTAGTTTTTCTTTACCCCCAACTCTCCTCATCCCAGCCTGCTGCCCACCTCTGCTTTTTGGCTTTCATTTTTCTTGTTCCAGAATTTTCTTAGCGAGGTTGATAAGCTGTTGAGTAACACTGACAATTTCCCGCATGTATGTAGGGCTTTATAACTTGGGAGGTATTTTCACGGACATTCCTCGTGTGGTTTTCTCAGCAACTTTAAGAAAGGCAAGACAAGGATCGTTGTCTTTATATTAACAAATGTTTCAAAAGGAGGCACAGGCAAAAAAAAAAAAAAAAAAAGTAAATAAAGAATAGGAGGCCCAGAGGAGGCAGGTGGCTGTGCTCATGATCCCCCAGCTTGGGTAAGGCCGGAACCAGGCTGAGAGGGTTCTGACTCCACTTCTCTGTGACACTGAGTCAACAGGTTTGGAGGTGACTCGCTTTCACCTGAAACTTTGAAGATATTTAATTTTCCTGGCTTTCTGGTTTTCTTGAAAGTCATTTTGAAGATTTGGTGTAGGTTCCAGAAAAGGAAATTATGGAGCTGGAAGAATCATAAGAGCTTAGGTATTAATGGAAGCAGAAGCCAAAATCCATTCGTGCTGAAGGCTCTTCATTAAGAGCTTGGCATTGAGCCCCTTCCTTCTGAGCCTCATGAATCTCTCCTTGTCTGTGCACCTCAACGTAGTTCTTCCCTGAGGAAGACAGCTCGGGAGATAGTGAGGAAGGATGGAGACAGGACAGAGACGACATTGGTGAAGCAGCTGGTGTCGCTGGGCGCTATTAATTGCTTTCCACATCCTTTGTATAACTCGGAGGCTAAGAGTGGAATCAGACTTGCCCAAGTTTGAACCCTGGATCTGCCTCTTACTAGCTGGGTGACACTGGGGAGGTTTTTTAGAATCACAGAACGAGGATGGTAGGTGCACCTGCAGGTGTGTCACGGTGCAGCGAGAGTGCAGAGAAAATGCCTGGCATGTTTCTTAAGAGGCATTTCTAGGAATTAGATTGTATCTCTCCCATTTTATAGGCGGGGAGACTGAGGTTCAGGGGCATGAAGGAGCCTGGTCAACGTGATGGTAGAAATGGATAAGCCTGAATTCAAAGCCTGAACTCTTAATTGCCATGTTTGTGGGAAGAGTGAACCGCCTTTTCATTTGCTCTGTGTTTGGGGAGCTGCCTATAAAAGTCATGGCTCACAGGGACCTGGTGCTAGATTCAAGCTCAAGGGTCTTGTTGTCGGCACAGCCGAGTAAATGGGCACTTGCCCGGTCCCCCTCCTCCCTTCCCCTCCGTGGTCCCTGGGTGCAGCTCCAGCCTTACAAATGGACGTTTCTAAGAATGTCCTCCCAAATCAGAACAACCCGTGGGAGGAATCACACCTTCTTCCCCAGTGAGATCAGAGAGGGGGTGTCCTTGTGGGAGCCTGTGGGTCCAGGACAGATGAAGGAGGTGCTGACAGGAGAGGCAGTGTCCACCAGCCCTCTCCCTCCCCCGGCTCTGCCCCTCAGGACAGCTCTTCTGCAGTAGATTATGAAAGCGCGAGGGGATCCTATGTGTAGAGAACATTCCACATGGAGGTTTGTTTAATGCTTGAGTTCTGAAACTCCTCTCTTGCCCGGACCCTGAGATGTGGATATCAGTCCACAGAGTAGATCTGGTGAGTGATCCCAGGAAGCCCCAGTAGAGGAGGGGTGGGGGGTGAGTCAGGAAGAGGATGGTGTCTTGCTGAGGAGGCTGCCACTGTGGGCAGCTGCAGCTCACTCACGTTGGGGGACTCCGGGAGACGTGACGTACTGGCCTCGGAGTTGTCCTTAGCTAAAGGTCAGAGAGCTGGGCATTGATCCACTAACACCCATCTGCCATCAGTTGAGGCCTTGCTCCTGGGGGATGCGGCAGCTATGGCCTGCCCTCAGAGCCGGGTACAGCCTGGTGGTTAGAAGAAACCCCCAGGCAGAGAGTCACAAGTGGCAGGTCAGGCAGTGGTGAGTGTCCAGAGGGTATGGGCGGGGCCAGCAGCGTCTGTGGTGTGCGTCCAGTAAGCAAGACTTTGAGAACCAGTTTTCCTTGAGCACTTAAATCCTGATTATAAATTTGTTTGATTGAATTCCCATAAGCTCTTTAAATCCCACTATGAACACACGTAGTATGGCCGATTCGTTTTGATCACTTCCTACGTCCACTTAAACAGCAGATGAAACACACACAAAATAAGGTACATAATGACAAGATTTAATAATATATTTATACTTTAACTTACTGTAAAATATGAACTATCTTGGGTATAGTTTATTTCTTCATTGTTTCTGTTCTTATTTTTTGTATCTTGCCAAAGCTGTTTTACTTATGCCCCTGTGTTCTCAGAGTTGACATCACTGTAACACTTTCCAGACAGGAGCAGGGAACTTTCAGATCCAAAGGTGACAGAACAGCTTTTCTGAAAGGTCAGAGGGTGCTGATTCTTGGGGGAGGGGGGGAGTGCCCTCAGAATGAGGTGGCTTCAAGGTGACTCAAAGTCAGGACCCCTTATCATGATGCATTGACCAAGCTGTCAGAACTATTAAGAACTTACGTATTCCTTATTAATATTTTACTCTACCTTGTTGGGCCAGGTAGAGATTTCACCTTCTGGGAGATGAGAGGTTGAGCTCGAGTACTTGGCTTTCCTCTTTAGGCTGCCCGACTAGTTTATCATGGTATAAACACACTGCTGATTGCTGGTTCCTTGTTAACTGTGTGTGGCCACTAACGGCAGTAGATCTCTGCCATTCTTTCCTCCTGGTTGTTGTAGGATCACCAACGCCAAGCAGTCCTTCAGTGGGCCCTAAGGTCCTGGGACGACCTGACTTATAATTCCTTTTGTTAGTCTTTCTTACGTGACACAGAAAGTTTATAAACATACATACAATTAATACTCTATAAAAGAAATATCACCTTATATGTTAAGGCTTCCTAGTTTTAAAAATCAACATAAATTGTGACCTAGCATTTTATGGTCACCCTTCTTTCCTATTAAAAGTATCTTCAGGGGGGGCGCCTGGGTGGCTCAGCGGGTTAAGCCTCTGCCTTCGCCTCAGGTCATGATCCCAGGTCCTGGGTTCGAGCCCCACATCAGGCTTTCTGCTCAGCAGGGAGCCTGCTTCCTCCTCTCTCTCTGCCTGCCTCTCTGCTTACTTGTGATTTCTCTCTGTCAAATAAATAAATAAAAACTTAAAAAAAGTATCTTCAGGGGGGCGCCTGGGTGGCTCAGCGGGTTAAGCCTCTGCCTTCGCCTCAGGTCATGATC